TGACACTAAGAAGATTTCCAACCTGAAAGCTAAACTGAATAACGAAAGCAACCCAGCAGGACATAGCTTTGATGCAGTTGCCCACCTTAAACGGAAGTCAGACGAGAAAGATGAGTTTTATTTGTATAAAATGAATAACAGATGTATGAATCCTGACGAGCCTTCCTACGTATTCAAGACTAGTAAACTAAAAGTCAATCTTGCGCGGAGTATGGGAGATAATGATCTCTTCCTCTCACGCGAGTATTGTTACATTGATGGGAAGGTAAATCGTTGCAAAGATTTTCCAACGATTACATTTTTTAAACATTAAGTGTTTATCATCCAGTTCTACGAAAACAAATACCCTTGTTCACGATGGAATGTGAAGGAGAAACGGCGGAGTGTTATGTAAAATTTTTCACACTTATAAACGAAACTATTGATAAAGTTGCTCCAGGTGAAAAGTTCAATCCATTGGCTGGGTTTATGGCAGATGAGGCTGGTGGTATACAGGAGGGACTGAGAAGAGTGTATGGCCAGGCGGTGCTAGAAAGGATCAAGACCTGTGAATTTCATTTCTTGCAGTGCGCTAATAGACGACAGCGAGCTCGTTTACATAGTGATAAATCCAAGGAATTCTTTACTCGTGTTACAAGAGCACTTCTTGCAACTCAGACATCAAGTGCTTACCATGCCGCCGTCACAGAGTTGAAAGATTTTGTTGCAAAGAAACCGTCTAAAGATCAAAGAGGATTTCTCATTACTTGGTTTCAATGGTGGGATGACCGTAGGTCTCATGTCTTCCCTGCGTTTGCACGCAAAAACGCACCAGCTGCAAACCTGGCTGAAGTAATTCATTCGAAGTGGAAAACAACGGGTGGAGAACATCTGTCACTAGTAGATGCTGCTGCGGAAGACATAAAGGACAGTCTTATTCTCGAGCGACAATTCAAAGGTTACGAAACTGATCATTTTGTTGGTGGTTCGGGTCCCAGTGTTTCCAGTATGTCATCACGAAACTACCAAGCTCAAAAGAATCGAGCAGAAAAGTATGCTAAAGACCTAATTGAAGAAGATCCCTCAGACCTGACTTCAAGAGCTGATGCACTAGGAACCTTTCAAGTAAATCCTCTTTCTTCGCACAGAGCGACAAAACCATAAAAAAAAACCCAGAAAAAAACCAACAAGACTAATTTGCACGAACATGACGAATCATTATCAAGTACATCGGAGGATGAAAAACAAGAATCTGAAGTTGAAGAAAGTTTACATGCATGTTACTGCTAAAGATACAATTCCTAGTGCCATAAGAGGGGCTAGGCTTCGATCAAGAATTCGTCAATTCAACAATACGCTTAAACGGGCAACGCAGGCTGACCGTCACCGCATAAAGCTCTTGACAATAGTAGAAGAAGGTAGCTTACTGCGCAAGTATCAAGTATCGAGTGCACGTGATTGGCTTGGATATGGGCCATATACGGTATTAATCAGCAAAGCGCCAACTTGTACATGTAATGATTTTGTCAAAAGTCGAACTGTTAAAATCTGCAAGCACATTATATGGATCTACGTTGTCGTGTTAGGTGTTGATATCGACGCGAACGCACTTCAACAAGCAGCGCTCACAGGGCAAGAAGTTCAGAATATTTTTGATTAAGCCCCACCACCACCACTACTATCGCAATCACCAGTAACAACGCCACCTACGCAACCCAATCAATGCCAACGACAAAAAACAAATAATCCATCGTCAGCCTCTGCATGCAATAGTGCAGAGAATCATGCAAGCAATGTTATCGAAAAAGACTGTCGATGTCAGCTCCCGCAAGTATGGCGACTGGAAAGATACATTAGAAAATCTGGTCCGAAACCTCAGTGTGCAGAATGTAGGAAAGTTACCTTCGATACAGGTGACACTTTGTTATCAGTTGATGCCCTTTATGTTCCACGAGATAAAGATTTTTGTATCCAGCGCACTTATCGTTTCTGCGTGGAATCGCAGTGCTTCAGCAATATATCAAAATTTTCAAATTTGAGACCGATTACAAATGCCCTTGGAGGCAATAGTGTAAGTCAGCAAGACTTCCATGTTAACATGAGCAAGAGATGAGAGCGGACGTGTCCTCTACTGCTCCGTGTATAAAAAAGTATATTTCTTTAATTTTGTTCAAACTCTATAATCGTGTTGACTACAATTATCAAGTATAGATCTTAGAGATCATGCCACCTAAAAGGCGACCCAAGAATATCAACAGCCAAGAAAATGGCGAAGTCGAACAAGATATGTCTGACGAAAACCTGGCCACGGCGACCTCAACTGGCTCGAGCAACTCCCTAGAAGCTCTTCTCGATCGTCGCCTAAATCAGCAGTCTGAACAGATCAACGAACTGTTTGTTAAGTTCACTAAAATGACGAAGATCGACCTTGAGGAAGTGAAGAAGAGTCAGGAATTTCTTAGTACAAAGTTTGACGGTTTAATAAAGTCTGTGAGCGATCTTCAAGCTGAGAATATCGAGCTTCGCACGCAGAATGATGAGCTGAGAAGCAGAGCCGACAAGTTGGAGTATCAAGTCACTACTAATATGAATGATCTCGAATACCAAAGGCAGTACTACGTGGTCTGGTCGGTTCGAGTATGTGATATTAGCTAACACCACTTCGAGCAGATCACCAGAAAAAAGCGAGAAAAAACGAGAAGATACCGAGCGAATTGAAGAAATATACGGAATGTTGAAAACCGTCATGGCGAAATTAGACACCTTGGACGATATTCAGAAGCGAATTGTCTGTGTTGAACAAGATTTCAAACAAATGAAAACTTCTCTTGAATTCCCTCACGCAGAAGTCAAAGACTTGGAAGATGAAGTTGAAAGAACCAAGAAAACAGAAAAAGAAATCTAACGCATAATGCGCAATTTAGAAGAATCAAACCTCCTGTTACAAGAGAGAGTCATTGACCTGAAGGGTCGATTCATGCGGAATAATCTTCTCTCCTATAATGTTGAAGAGGAAGAAAGAGAAAATACTGACGAAAAGATCTAACAGATTCTTGAGGAGAAATTACAGATTCCTGATGCTAGAAATGGAATCAAGATCGATCGATCTCATAGAGTCGGAAGGAACATGCGAGGGTTGGTTTCACGCTCGCACCTCATGCGTAAAATCACCCCTCACATGCCAACAAACGGAAATTGATATATGCAACATGTGTTTAATTTATTCACTTCCTTTTCACTCAATAGATGATTCAGAATTTTATTTTATTTTCGGCAATTTCAGCCGCATTCCAAGCGATGAGGATATGGATAGACAAACGCAACTCAGATTTAACCGTTTTGATATTGATAACTACATTTTAAACAATAAACATTCAGTAAGGTTTGATGATTTAACATGCAATTATCACCTACCAAACGATTTTGCCAAGAATAACACTAACAATAAAAATCTATCTATCCTGAACCTTAATATAAGAAGTTTAGCAAACAAACTTGATGCATTTAAAAATGTATTAAATAGTCTAAACCACGCATTTTCTATTATAAGTTTAACGGAAACATGGCTCAATGACCAAATCAGTAAGAATTTCAACCTTAATAATTGCAATTTTGTTTGTTGAAACAGAGCAAATAGAAAAGGTGGCGGAGTAGGATTCTATATTTCAAATAATCTAAACTACAAATTACGAACTGATCTTAACATATACGAGGAAGGAATTATTGAATCCCTTTCCATTGAAATAATCTCAACCACAAGTAAAAATATTATTCTCGGTAATATCTATAGACCACCAAGTGGTAATTTTGAAATTTTTGAAAACAAATTTAATGAAATATTAGTTAACGTTGATAAAACAAAGAAAATAACTTATTTGACTGGAGATTTTAACATCGATCTTCTGAAATCTGATGTTTGCGAATAATCAAACAGATTCTGTGAGCAACTTTCATGGGCGTACCGGGCGGGGGGGGGTGGCGGGAACCCCCCCCCCCCAGTTTGTTGGGAAAACAAAGCCAGTCGGGCAATATTCGCTCCACAGTCGGGCAATATTGGCTTATTATAAAAATAAATGGGACAAATTCTGTCAATTTTGTGGGAAATATGCTATCTAATAGGAATTTTTCGTAATCACTCCTCGCCCCCGTCGACAACAATTTTGGAAAGTTTCTCCGGAAAATTTGTTTTGACAACTCGGGCACTATCCGAAGAAGTAGGGCAAATTTCTTTCCGCCAGCCTAATTTCTCCTTCCCGTACGCCCATGGCAACTTTTCACATCATCTTTCTTTCCCCTTATAAATAAACCAACTAGGGCCTTTCTGCGAAGTCGTTCTGCAGCATCGATTTCACCGTTGTACCAGGGCGCCGATGCCCTCGCTCTTACACTTTTGGTCTTTAATGGTGCATGCCAGTTAGTTAGGCTCGACAGAGTTTCGTTGTAATCACGTGACAGCGCATCCCCGTCATCTGGCAGCAGATTTGTTGGTTCACCACGACATGTCCCACACAATGCAGTAGCAGCCAGATCTTGGTTTAGAGAGGTGATGTTCACACATTTTAATTTCCTGTAACTAACTCTTTTGATTGACATAACTGGTTTGGCTGGTAATAGATCGCAGATAACAGAAGCATGGTCAAAAATTAAACGGTCTACATACGGTTGATTCATTATGATCTGATCAGAGTAACGTGTGATTATAAGATCAAGGGTATGGCCATAGTATAGTATAGTAAAACTTTATTTAACCACGCTTCCCTCATCACCCATGGATGAATTTCATGAGGGGCGTCACACAAATTACATTCTAAAAACTAATATAAATTAAATATGAAATAGAATAACTCAGAATAACAAATACGTAGATAAAAAAGTTAAAAAACCAAGACTATTCGATGCCTGACTCTGTAACACACATTATTTTATCAAATTTTTGAAGCTACTTAAAGATTCTTTTTTCTTTGCCTGCGTAGGTAAACTATTCCATAGAACAGCCCCGCTATATCCAAACCTCTTTTTTAAATATTCAGTACGTGGTTTAGGAACGTACCGAAAGATTTATATCAGCGTTTTTGAGATTATAATTAGCACTAAGATTTATGTCCCTTGTTATAAATTTATCCTTTAAGTTCGGAGCTGAGTAGTTGTTTAATATTTTGAACATCAAGACCGATTTATTCATTTTATGTCTGTCGTGCAGATTTTTCCATGACATAGCATGGACCAAATCTGTCGACCTCACATCATAATTGGCACCTGTCATAATTCTTGCCGCCCTATTTTGTAGTTTTTGTAATTTCTCTTTGAGCATGCTTCCACAATTATCCCATAAAGATGAACAATAGTCAAAATATGGGAGAACGAGAGAATTATATAAATTTTGTAGTGTTTCGGACGGTACAAACGTCTTTACTCTTTTGATGATTCCAATACCGGAGCCAACTTTCCTACATATTGTGTCTATATGATTTTCCCAGCTCATTCTTTCATCTAGTTCTACTCCCAGACATGGAAAAGAGGAATATCGAGTAACCGGTTTATCATTTATCATAACCTGTTCATTACCAACTTTGTTTTTTAAGTTATAAGGTGATCCTATAAACATTGCTTTTGTCTTTTTTGTGTGAAGTTGCAATTTATTTCGAAAGAGCCATTTGACTATATTTTCTAAATCCTGATTAAGTTTGGTTACTAGTTCGGAGAAACTTGCAGAAGATGCATATATTTGAGTATCGTCAGCATACATGCCATGCAGGAGTTGTGTTTTTCAGACATTCTGGCAAATCATTTATATATAGTAAAAACATGAGGGGTCCCAAGATAGATCACTGTGGAACTCCGCATACAATATCCTTAGCCAACGATGTGTGGCCATCGACAACACAAACTTGGCTTCGTTTCGTCAAATAGGATTGGAACCATTTTAGCTCAAAATCTTGAACACCAAACTGGTCGTGCATCTTCCTTAATAGGATTTTATGATCAATAGAGTCGAAGGCTTTCCTAATATCAACTGAAATTAATCGGGTTATTTCTCCATTATCCATATTTTCAAACCAATTGTCACTCATTTCTATTAATAAGGACAGTGTCGAATGTTTGGGCCGGAAGCCCGATTGAAAACGTGAAATTAGAGAATTGTCTATCAGATATTGATAGAGCTGTCCAAATACTTCTTTCTCAAATAATTTGCTGATAATGGGAAGAATAGATATCGGGCGATAGTTTTCACATTTCGTTCTATCTTCTGTTTTATAAACAGGTATTACCCTGGCTCTTTTCCAATCATCAACATATATCCCAGTAGAAATTGAGAGATTAAATATATAGGTCAAGGATGGGGCAATAATATCGCAGGATAATTTCAGTATTTTGGCTGGTTTTCCATCAGCCCTGGTAGCCTTGGATACTTTTAGATTTTTCAGGTTTTTTAGAATATTGGATTCAGTAATTGTATGGAAATAGAATTTTGAATTTACACCAGTTGAATTACAAAAAATTCCTTAATTCTTGTTTGATAATGGACAGTTTTGGCCCTTTTCATTTCCGAGTTAACTTTATTTCTCTCCGATTTATATTTATCCCAGTGAACCTGGGAATTATATTTCTTTGCTCTCTGTTTATGATAGTCTCTCGATCTTATTAGTTTTTTAATGTTGGAATTTATCCTGGGAACAGAGTTGTGCTTAATGCTTTTATAAATTAAGTGTGCATGTCTGTCAAGAGCTTCCAAAAAAAAAAGATTTCCAGACATGCCAATTATCGTTCGGGTTCATATACTGTGTAGCTAAATACCAAGGTATTCTGGACAGTTCCTCAATAAAATCAGTTTCATTAAATCTTTTGAAATTTCTAACTTTGGAACGGGTTTGCCTATATTTAGGCATGGTCACTTTTTTCACTGCAAAAATTAAACTGTGATCTGACATTCCCAAGTCAATAACACCACTATTGGAAATGTTATTGGGTTGATTGGTGAACACTAGATCAATTAAAGATGATGATGTGCTTGTGACTCTAGTTGGCTCCTTGATCAATTGCTCTAAGTTATATAATGTGCTCAGAAATATTAACTTTTTGGTACTGGAGTCTTTTGGTGTCTTAATCATATTACAATTTATGTCACCAATAACAATCAACTCCTTACTTTCAGCATCACATTTACTAAGAAATATTTCAAAGAAATCAAATAATTTCATCTCAGAGTTGGGCGGTCTGTACCATGCACTAATGAGAAATGGCCTACTTCGTGGTTTACAAATCTCAATACAAATCATTTCAAGATCATCTGAATTTAAATCCTTCTGCTCATAGAAGGAATATATCTCTCGAATATAAACAATCACTCCACCCCCAAATCTATTGCGATCTTTTCGAATCATATTATATCCTGGGATACTTATTTCACTATCTTTTACCGAATTATCAATTTTAGATTCGTTTATAGCAAAAACGTCAATTTCAGAATCGGATAACATCAGTCGAAGTTCATCAACATGTCTTAAGAGACTATTAATATTTAAGCTTGCTATTTTCAGCCCCCTTAGTATTTTAATTTTATGCAAATAAGAGTCTTTTTTACCTTCAGAGTCAGGCATCGTATTGTTTATCGATGAGTTCACTTCTTTGACGTCTGGGGCATGATCAAACTTAACAGCTCTCCCAGTTGTCGAAGTTCCTTCGGAAAACCCCCATCACTTGATCGTGAGCTAGTTCCTCTAATAAATTTATTGAAGTGAACAGCCAGTAGAGCCGAACCTTTCGCATTAAGATGTACCTGTAGCTTGGACCCATTCAGGCAAGTCGCATCTATGTTCCCATTTTCAATATAGGTATAGCCCTCTTTTGAGCATAGATCCTTTAATAACTCATTCGTTTCTTGTGTCTTTAATGTTACATCAATATCCTCTCTCGTTATAAGGCTGGATATCGCGATTCTAGCTTCCTTAAACGTGCTCTTTATTCTGGAACTTAGAAGCTGAATATTATCGAAGCATTCTTTGGTAGAGTCGGTGATTATGTTGTTAGTACCAGCGTGTATAATTACTTCTGTGGGAGGAGAGTGGACATGGGCCGATTGAAACTCGTTTGCAATTTCCTCTTCTCTCTTACCTGGATATGTTAATTAACTTACGAACTGAGCTTTTTGAAAGTTTGTGTGGATTTATATCTTTAATCATTGAATCACCAATTAGCAAGATGTTAGGTTTAAATTTGCCATCTTTAAATTTTCCACCTACATCAATAGGGTTTTTTTCATCCTTAGATATTGTAGTTGTGTTTCGTACCGGGTCTTTATGTTGTCTAGCCTCTGATTGATCCAGATCTGATCTCCCTTTATGCTGTTTAATTCTTTAGATCTGCTAATTTCGTCTCGTTTACCGTTCAATTCTGATTCGTTTCGATTCTGTGTTATTGCTTTAGACATTTTATTGCCGTAACATTACAATACTTATTAACAAAAAAATTAAGAGTATACAGAGCACCAAATGTACGTCCTGCCTGACAAACGTCCTGACAATGCATGGAACTGATTGTTTCGCGGCGTGCTCACCATTCAAAAGCGTGCAGGTTCCAATGAATGAATGTCACCGCCACAATGTTTCTTAATGAATAATGGGCCCAGAGCCTCACTATACCACAGCGCTGACTGTATAAGTACTTACCTTTTGCGGGTGTTAAAGGAGATCAAGGCGAGAAAGGCCATCCTGGGAATGACGGTATTCGTGCTGGAAAAGATGGAATGAAGGGAGAGAAAGGTAAGACTAAATGACATTAAAGGGGAAGGGTTCCCTTTTGAAGTGCAAGTATATGGGTGTAATAGGGACGTTGATGACACATACATGCAGTGATCAGTTCGCCCACACCACACTGCCCATCAGTGCCTCTAATATTATATACACTGAAGTGCAAATATGGCTGCAGTAGGAGTGTTTTAATCATCAAGTGTCAACACGAGCGAAAGACTTCAACTGAGAAACAAGGGTCTCGTGAGGTATTAACGCGGCACTGAACATGCACGGGTTAGCTAGGTTGAGGAAAATCTTGAAACGAATGTGGGAGTTGAAAAAGAACCTTCAATTGTTGAGCTACGACTCAACTGTTTGAGTCCCGCAGCGTATAGCAGTTCGAGACTCATTAAGTGAAATCTACAGTATTAAATTATTGTAATTGTAAAATTTGATGGGTTTTGGTAACGTTTTCAGCATCGCAAATCCTCTTTAGAAATACCATTTGATATAATATTTTCACATTATATAGGTGATCCAGGAATTTGCAGTGGCTCTTGTGGACAAAAATTGTTGGACAAAGTATGTATGCATATTGTTGTTGTGCTGTTGTTGTTGTGCTATGTGCATGTTGTTTTGCTTAAAAAACATATATATATATGTTTTTTAAGTTAAGTTCGGATATAGTGGGTATAGTAAAGCAACAAACATGTAAAGGCTTCTTTTCAGTCATCGGGAAAAACAACTCGCAAGCTCGCTGTGAGTGCTTGCATTTAATGAAAATAAACTGTCGAGCAAATATATTGATTGATGAAAGCACTCGCAGTGAGCTTGAAAGTTGACTTATGCGATAAATGATGGAAAAGAGACTTAACACAAACATTATATCGCAGGCACAGATTCAATTATATATCAAAATTGACGTGAATTAAACAAACTTTATACATCAGTAATTATAGTAGATGTTTGTTTGTGATGCGTGAGTTTCAAAAGATTAAACTGCTGTTCAACATGTTCCTAACTGGACTTTCGTATTTTCAGGACTCCCCGTTAATACATATGACAGGTGATGGAAAACAAAATAAGAGAATTGACAACTTGGACGGTCAGATTTTGTACTTAGCCTACTACATATATCTATGAGTATAGCTATACGTTCTAAAAAGCATGCACTCTCGTATTGCATTTGTCCAAACAGTAACTTAATTATATACCTCGTTCTTCGGAACATATAATATGGCGCAATATACTGTCATATTTTCCATTCTTTTTTACGCACTTTTGAGGAACATTTGGAAAACGGTCCGAGGAAAATTAATTCAAGGGTCCGAGGAAAATGCCACTTTTTCCACGTCTGCAGGCTAGTTTTTAAATATAAACTAAAGCATCTGTGATTCTCATCTATCAATTCGTTTTTTTCTCCAAACTCAAAGACCACTTAATTTCTTGCCTTTGGACCTTATTCCCCTTATAACTAAAATTTCGATCTAGACAAAAATTTCATCACAGCTTGAAAGAGCATCACAAAATTAGTAATATTCCAAAGTTTTGTTGCAAAATCTTGTAAAATGCGGATAATATAGCCTTGCGAAGTTTGCCGTTTTTCAGTCATTTTGTATTACAATCGGGAAATTGACATCCGATTCGGGTGTTGGGGCTGCAATTTCCCGTTTGTAATTTAAAATGACTGAAAATTGCAAACTTCGCAAGGCTCTATTTTCCTCATTTTACAACATTTCGCAACGAAACTTTGGAATATTACTAATTTTGTGATGTTCTTTCAAGCTGTGATGAAATATTTGTCTAGACTTGCCTAGATCAAAATTTTGGTTATAAGGGGAAAGGTCTATTGATGTTTCTTTTTCGGTAACATTTAACATATTTAACTGCAATAATTTAACCTCTCACCGGCGATATCTGATTGCATGCATGTACTGTACATTCAGCACGTTTAGTTATAAGGGACCGTTCATTTTTTATCAGGAGGAGGGGGCTGGTGGTTTTGGGTGCTTTCATTGATAATTTCGTCTCGACCCCCCAACAGATGCAGGGAAATTTCCAGTGACCCCCTTTCTACTCCAAGTTTTTTTTCCATGATCCCCGTACATGCATATGGTCTTGAACTTTTGGTCATGCTAGGTCCTACCCAAGCGTCATAAGATAAGCAATTGTAAAGCAATATACTTCATTTTATAATAGGACAAATCTTCATTGTTTTTTGGCTGTTTAATAAAGTTACCGGAAGTGACAATTTTGTGCATTTTGGCCAAAAGAAACAAAATAAAACTGATTTACATTTTGCATTGCCTTAATACTCAGTGTCACGTCCAGTAGCTTTTAATAAACAGCCATGAAGATGAAGCTTTTTTCTAAGAAAATAAATTGCGTTTTAGAATTCACTAAATGTCTAAATATCACAAATATGTAAAATTCCTAATTGTTCATGTGTACTTTAAATTTATATTGTCTACTGATGCATGTACTAAAACTTTACTCTGAGTTTTTATAAATGAAAGAGCATGATAGTTGATTGCTTTGATTTTTATATATTATATGTATTCATTGATGTTTTGGTGGCCCCCTCAAAATGTGACCCTCCCCTCTCACATAGCTCCCTCCTGCTGATAAAAAATGAACGGTCCCTAACGGTAGCATATTAAATTCGATTCAAAATTGTAGGCGAACAAACGAGATTTTTCCGGTCAATTGTGTTAGAGCTCGATCAATTAGTAGTGTTTGTACTATATTCTTCGTTGCTCATCTTGTTCACGAAGAACAACGATCTGGCGTCGTGATGAGTAAAAAGCGAACTTTAAACAAGGCTTAATACGGGGACGTGACAAAAACAGCCTTAAATTTTACACTGTCTTTTAAAATTACAAGGAACAACTCTAGTTAAGAACGTCAACAGGCCGGACGAGGCTTCTCAATCACAAACCGTACGCACGTGTCGTTAACCTTAATCCTTAAACTGTATTATTTTTCATACGATAGATAATAGACGACAAGTTTTCTTCTGCAATCGAAGAGGTTTTCGAGTTCCCGTCCTACATGCATAAGGTTGCTAATGACGTAGTTGATAACCAGACATATAGTACTGCAATGCGTTGCCCTCGAGCGTGCGCAAATCAAGTGCACCACAAGCGAAGAGATATATACTATTTTTGAATAAATACTAAAGCTTACGATTCTGACAAACCAACAGATTACGGATTCACGTGGCGTATCTAAAGCGACGCCAAACCTCGTTTGGGCACCGGCTGTTCATATGGAGGCGGGCTGGCCCAGTTAACCGGGATGATTCGTTTAATAAAGTTCTTTCACGGCTTTAATAAAAATCCAAAATGACATTTCAAAGCTGAGCTAGCTGAGCTAGTTTGATTCCAGTAACAGTATAAAGATTAAAGTTCACTCAAACGATCGTTTATGGTCATGAAAACAATTTTGTGAGAGGATTCATCCCGACTAGCAGGGTTGGACCACCTCATATATGAACAGACCCTAAGCGTGAGAAAAATTGAAATCATATTTTTATTTCCAGAATCAGCCGTGTCTTCCTGGAATGTGACATACAAGGCAGGCGATATCTCGTACAACAAATCCGAAGGAAAGCTGACAATCAATGTCAAAGGATTTTACTACATATATAGTCAAATGGCTTATTGCGGGAAAATAGAACGTAAAGTTGGACACACCATGTCAATTAACGACAATGATGTCCTGAAATCGGCAATAACTGCCTAAGATTTAGGAACTCATAGAGTAGGAGGCATTTTCAAACTCAAAAAAGGCGACAAAATAGCGATCTGTGTTGTTGTAACAAATTTGGAATACTGTTTCTCTAGACAAGAGGCTTGCTTTGGCGCTTTTCTCGTTCGCAAGTAATATTAGTCTTTCGTTTCTTCGGGTGAAAGGTCTATGGAAAGCAAGCTGAATGTCATCCAGTTCTTTTGGAGGAAATAATCTGGTAAAATTTTACCATGTTAGATTTTTCAAACTGTTGTAATTCCACTTGTAGTATCAGATATTTTAATTTAACTTTCTGAAAATTTTCCATGTAGCAGTTCGAACGTGTCACAGAACGTGACCAACCAAAATAAACAAATTTAGGACAATTCATCAGTTTTTATCATTCAAAAACAAAATGCGACAAAAATACTCAGATATAGGTTATAGCTGTAGAATTAAGAAAAAACCTTGGACGCCCGAAACAATAAGTAGAAACAATAATTTACTTTAATTTTTAGTTATTTTTCAAGTCTGACTATCATGCATAAGTTCTCATCCAAGCATGTTAACAAAAGGACATTTCCGAATAATATGTGAGATATATCAAGAATGTAACGTATAGGCTCCTTCTCAGGTTCTTTTGCACGCTCGGCGTGATTGCATTCGGAAATGGTCTTTATCACTGATGAATTGTGTTTGCAGTTAACTACAGTATACCATTGCAATGTAAAAATATTTCTAGTACAGTACATAGAATTGAAATGGACACCATGCATTTTGTAAGTAAGAGAAACACAAAAATGATGAATTCCTTTGTAAGAAATTTTTCGGAATTCTTTCCGCTTGGATTATTCTACCTTGCGTTTGCCCTTTTTACATGCATTATAGCATTAGTTGTCGAAAAATGTGCTGAATACTGCAGGGCCTTTTTTAAGGATTTTCCCGTGGGGGGGGCATTTTTTGAAAAGGGACCTTTCTGTGAGATAATATATTACAGGGAGATAGCAATGGCTGAAGGCCACGTGTGCGCCGAACATACCATGCACGCATGAATGAGGGGGGGGGGGTACTCCCCCAGAAAATTTTTGAAATTTGAAGCACAGAAATATATGCCATTTCCTGCATTCTGAGGATCCAAATGCACTCCAAAATGTATACTAACTATACTTGTATTTGAAATAAAAGAAGGAAAAAAAACGCAAAAAGTAAAAAAAATATTAACTATAAATTATCATTACTTATTAGAGGAGGATACCAATGTCACGTGTGTGGGAGTGTACTCCCCCAGAAAATTTTTGAAATTTAAAACACGGAAATGCCATTTACTGCATTCTGAGCATCCAAATTTGCTCTAAAATTTATGCTAACTATATTTGTATTTGAAATAAAAGAAGGAAAAAATGCACAAAAAGTAAAAAAGAATATTAACCGTAATTTATCATTATACTTATTAGAGGGTGATACCAATGGCCGAAGGTCACATGTATGGGGGCATAATCTCCAGAAAATTTTTCAAATTTGAAACCTGGAAATGCTCTTTCCTGCATTCTGAGCAACCAAAAAATAAAAAATTATTAACAATAATTTATCATTACTTAGTGGTAGAAAAACGTATACAACAATTTAGATCGATTTTGTTAAACAAGGACAAAGGATAAAGCCTAAAACTTACTTTCCGTTTATTTATTTGTTATTCTTCGCTGTTTTGTTGGTATAAATTTAGGAAAAAGGGACTTTTCCTGGGTGGGCAAAATGTGATTTCGTGGGGGGGCACAAGGGGGGACTGGGGGGGGCAAATGCCCCCCCAGCTTGTATGTTAAAAAAGGCCCTGGAATACTGTAGTGAATTATTTTGATGTTCCTCGCACAAAATGTCGTGTATATGTCATGCATTTACTTTGTGAGTAGTGTAATTAGACAAATTAACTATAAATTATCAATGATCATGAATATATTTAGTAAACCTTACGAACATTATCAATGATTGTGTACTGAAGTATAATTATAATATTAATGGTTTTTGAAATTATCTTGCTTGTCTAGAAAACACTGTGTTTAATTTTTAATGCATGGGTAGCAAGAAAATAGCCGAGAAACAAAATCGTACCGTGAAGATGGAAACTGGAAAATAGGTACAGGTTATCTTGCGGAAACTGCAGAATTCTCAATTCGACTAAGTTGGCCCGACGTGATCGAGCATTAAGAATTGGCGGGGGGATTCGTGCGTTTTATTAAGTCAAATACCTATATCATTTAAGGTCCAGACACACGTATACCGGACGCGATTCGACAACGCGACGCGATTTTTTAGTTTTTGAAAGTTAATAAAACAGCCAATGAGAACAAATTTTAAAAGATATGCAGACAAAATGTTATAACGCTTCTAAATATTTGGAAAGTTTGAATTTGAATTTTTGAATTTATTAATAAAAAAATAGACTTTGCAACCATGAAGGTTGAAATACATCTATCATTACAGGGTTGGTTGATTAGAAAAATATTGTATATTTACAAAAACATATTTACTATAATATAGGAAGAGATTAGAACTTCTAGTATGATATTACCATAATATTTACAAATAAAAATGTATGTAATTTATAGTTACTCAGTGTTTATTATAAATCGTTACAGACGAGGGAATGTACGAATTTTTGAAGCGATTTGTCCGACAATTAATTGGAACGAGTTTATTCGATGTGCGTAGGTTGTAGCTTGGATGTTCGGCTGGTTCAACTAGTTCGGAAAGAGGACTAGTTTGCGGAAGAACCTTTTTCCTAAAAAATTTTGAACATAACAGTTCGCGCCTAGAATACAATGTTGGGATATTGAGATCTGATAAGGATTCTTTGTATGATGACGATGGGTTAATTATTTTCAACGCTCTTGACTGGATCCTTTCTATTTCTTTGGATAGGTATTCAGGTATGTTATAATGCCAAACTTGGGCGCAATACTCCAAGATGGGTCTTACACATGAAAAATACACTGATATCAATGTTTAAACTAGGATCAAAGTTATCCGGTCAGTGAAACTCAGTGGCGAAGCCAGCGGTCATGCAGTGCATAAAAGTTTCCCCAAAAATGTTTAAAAATCAGTTCAGTATAATTGTTTACAATAGAATTATACTTTATATTTGCACTTCTACGCCTAAGCTAGTATTTTATTTATTATTTTGTCTACCCAAATCAATGGTCTTTAGGCGATGTTTTCGCTAAATATTCTCGTATGTAATTGATTTTGGCTTTTTGCTATCTTGGTGTGATTAATCATATGGTGTAATGTACTCAGGTGAATAAGATGCTTGTGATGTTACTCTGAGTGTATATCCACACCGGGCAGGCTTGAAAAATCAGTGCCTGCATGGCCACGGTGGGAATCGAACCTACGACCTTTGGAATACTAGCCCAATGCTCTGCCAACTGAGCTACGCGGTCAGGTCGGTTCGAGTATGTGATATTTCGGAACTAGTTCCTTCGATATTAGTGGCTTCGATATCAGATTTTAATTTGGCTTTGTTACCTTGCAACTAGTGAGCGGTCCTGCATATTTTCACATGCATGACCGGTTACGTAAGGGCATGGAAAAAGATTGTGTGTGATTGCTGCGTGGTTTGCTCGCTGTGTGTTTTGGTCATGCATTTTCAGAATTTCATGACTAGCTATATTATTTTATATTAGGTTTGTTGGTTTCTGATCGGGCTTACGACGTTCGCGCACGCGCAATGCGGCTGTTTTTGACGCGTTGGTCATGCAATTTTCGATTTGCATGACTAAACGGGCAACACAACCTGATCACAGCCTCTTAGCTGGAAACTTTCAGCCTGAATGAACACGTCTTCAGGTCATTCAAGCATGTCGACTTCTTCTTTACTCGAAGCTAACGATATTGTTTGGGAATTGGTGAAAAAACCATTTTCTGCTCAGCAGAATATAATTGTTTTATTAAAAAAGCAGAGACCAACGCCAGATCTTTCGACATGCCCGATCAATGTCGTCGTATTTAAAGAAAGAATATGGCTTAGGCTAAATAAGCTATTAGTATTTAGTTATTGTTAGTTGCCTTGAATATTTAAGCCTTCAACCCGAGCATAGGCGTATAAAGCATCGAGCGCTATACAGCTATTTCAATTAAGGTTGTCCCCCGAGCAAAGCGGAAAAGTCGAATACGAGCGCGAAAGGCTGCTGGGATTCGCTAATAAATGAATGAATTCATTAGCGATTCCCAGCAGCCTTTCGCGCTCGTATTCGACTTTTCCGCTTTGCTCGGGGGACAACCTTAATTGAAATAGCTGTATTAGTCCGTGTGTTGTGACCTTGAAAAGTGCCTAGAAAACGATTTTCATTAAGCATGCCTTAGATCTGAAATACTTTTACGGGAACTAACACTTTCGAACACGCTGATTTCAAATCCGAAAAGTTCCCACTCCGTAGACCCGCAGTTTTCTTACAAAATGTTATTTTATCTTCACTAATTTCACAGCAAATTTTTTCATTGTTCAACGACACGGATCGATGACGATACACGATTATGTCACTCAAAAGGACCAATTTCTATTAACCATTCTTCCTTTTAACAAAAGACCGGTTTTGCTCGAATCATTTTGAGTTATGCAATCTTATGCGTGTTGGACGTAAACAACATATCTTGTCTACAACTTTGAGAAGGTACATATAATTCCTTCTAAAATCCTTAGTTCTGGATCTATCTCTATAAAATCACAAGGACGGTTAATGTCAAGTCTTTGGGCTATGTCTCTGGGATGAGAAATAATTCCTTACATGCGATCAAAATGTTTTATACAAAGATATAAAACGGTAATCTATATGTAACGGATCAGCATTGAAATTTCCAACACGGTTTCCGAGACGTAATTCAAGATTAACTTATCATTGCATTTGAACTGACATCAGTTGGTGTTATACTGTGCGATAAGCGAATATTATTGGAAAGAGGGCTTCTATATACGTTGAAATCATCAAATAAACAGCTAATGCACACATTTCTCGACTTTGTGGTAAGTTTACAGAACGTATTTTATACTTTGGGACTGATCTTTGTCTTTGATGTGAACATTTATTCTCATAGTTTAAGGTTATTTAAGATTGATCCTGTCCTAAGTCTTCTAGCAGCAACCATTCGACAATATTTCATTTTAGCGCTGTCTTTGCCGTTACGTTGGCTTCGCGTTACTTTTGTTTTTAATAACTTGATCGCGTTAAAAGAGTTATATTTCAGGCCAGTGACATAGCAAAAGACTTCGCATTAGTGTCCTTGTGATTTTATAGAGATATCTCTAGAACTGAGGATTTTAGAAAGCGTTATCTGTACCTTCTCAAAGTTGTAGACAAGATATGTTGTTTACGTCCAACACGCATAAGATTGCATAAATCAAAATGATTCGAGCAAAACCGATCTTTTGTTAAAAGGAATAATGGTTAATAGAAATTGGTCTTTCGAGTGACATAATCGTGTACCGTCATCGATCCGTATCGTTGAACAATGAAAAAATTTGTTGTGAAATTAGTGAAGGTAAAATAGCATTTTGTGAAAAAACTGCGGGTCTACGGAGTGGGAACTTTTCGGATTTGAACTCAGCGTGTTCGAAAGTGTTAGTTCCCGTAAAAATATTTCAGATCTAAGACATGCTTCATGAAAGTGAACGATATCGGGTCACAACACGCGGACTATATACTGTATGAAATACAATGTCAATGTCGAGGTTAAGCCTGGTTCACATATATATGCCTGCGGTATGCCTGCGACTGTTCATTGTGCCTCTACTTGCCCCCGAAATATCGGCAAAGTTGAACTCAAGTCAACTTTCCCGGCCTACCGCCGATGTAACTAAGGCACTGGAGGCAATCAGCGAACAAATGTTCACATAATTTACGTTTTAAAGCTACCACCGTATCGTCGCCGGTACGTCGCAGGCACGTCGCAGGCATATATGTGAACCAGGCTTTAATGTAGTAACAGAGCCACAGAGGCAACAATGTAGTTCTATGATAGCGCTGCAAAGCTTGTACATTTCAACACGCAACACAAATATTTTAGCGATAGTGATTTAGCAACATATTTGATGTAT